TGAATATGCAATCAATCTCAATGTCCATGTCATAGATGAAGACATCAAGAATTACTCGGTCCCATTGCAGGCTCCTGGGGGACACCACTTCTCAGCCATCAGGAGGGGCTGACTCACCTGCTGGGTCTCACATCCAGGCAAAGAGGCTGACTGTCCTCATCCATAAATACCTACATGCTGTAAAATAATCATCAGGAGAAGAAAAATTAGAAAATGCTGTTGCCCTCTTGCAGCAAAAGATTTCCCACTGTAAGCCAAAGTAAGATATAAATGTGGTGAGTGCCATTTTGCATGTAGCAACATCAGTTGGCATAACTTGCTCATAATTGACGGACTGCTTGAAAGAAAGAACCACTTTCAGTGGGCAGGGAGAAATGCCTAAAATGGCTAAAAACACATCCAAGATAACAACTGGTGGTCAGGCAGCGGTTTCCAAACAACTACTCAACAGAAGCACTCACATCCTCTTGTGTAGCTAGCTGGTCAAGCCTGGGGCCAAGCTCCTGCCAATGATCCGCTGCAATTTCCATCTTTTGACTGGTGAGCAGGGAGAGAGATTCATTTCTCAGAAAGGGAGCCTTGGCTGGCCTGTGCTGGTGGGATTTCCGCTGTGGGAATAGGCACGGAGCACACTGATAACTTGGGTGCTGCACGCACCAGGAGGGGCGGAAGGAAGCAACCCTGACTGTGGGGTCAGGCTATTTCTGCTGGGATTTAAAACTGCTCCTTGGAACAGGGTTGAAACAGTCACTATAAATGACTTGCATGAAAGAGTACAGAGCATTTTGGAGGATTATAATTTATGCCAGGCAGAAGCTGTTATGGTTCAGTTTAAGGAGCTTAAAATAAGACTTTTGGGAGACAACCAAACCAGCTTCAACTCTGGTAACTGCTCAGTTCAAGATACTCCTAAATTGATATGTACAGGGTCTGTTCCTTCCTGGGGGCCAAGGGCTTTGAACTCCCGTTGAAAACACTGAATCTCAAAGATGCTCTGATGATATTTGGCATTGTTGAGAGTGAGCCAATGACCATTAGGAAAGAACTGATAGTGCCTTGGAGCATATGATTCTCTTAACCCTTCATCTAAACCTGAATTAATTTAATTTAAGGATTTCTCCCCAAGGCTTTGTCTTTCATGGAAGGTACCTCTTGTAGGAATGTGGAGTTTTCCTCCGTGGGATACTCCTTTCTGCAGATTTAAAATCAATCACCTTATTAAGCCAACTGGAATGAAGCACATGTGTCTGGACCCTGATCATCATCCACGTGCTTCCTAAAGATGGAACAGAGAGAGGGAGAAATCAATTAATTTCTGCTGACCAAACAGAAAGGCAGAGATGAAGTCTTGTCTTGCCATCTCCCAGGCAACTTAAGAGTACTTTATATCACAAAGGCATAGCCGTATCCTCCTGTTTTCTTGGAAATGACACAGTGGCTATCACTCCATTCTCAGAGAAATATGTGTACAGTATGACACTGATTTCTAAGTTCCCAGACATATTGCTTCTCTAAAACTTCCCGATTTTTCTTTATTAGTTTTATCACTGTGAGTTAAGTCAAAACTCTTACTGGAACATGCAGTCCAAACCTGCCTCCTCTTTAGTCTTTGCATCTTTTAAATGTTTACAGATGGTTTTCATATTCCCCTTCAGTTGCCATTTAGCCAGTGTTGCTCTGTGTATATCTCTTCAAACTTAACACCCTGGGAAGGGCACACAAGGCCAAATCCTGCTCTCAGTTACATTTCTGTAATTTTGGAGTAACTCAGCAAACTTGATAGACATTGAATTGACACAAGCAACACACAGAGCAGAAGGCGAATGCCAAAATATAAAACAGGATGTCAATCAAAGCTAACATCACATCCTATAGGCCACAGACTGCACAAGGTTGGTGCCTTTTCTATCATGGCATTTTTTGCTGCATTCTCAGTGACTAGAGTGAAGATTTAGAAGTGGTTGTGAACTGCAACCTCCATGAGGGAGATGCCAGCACCCACCATGGCTCCTCTGGCAAGTGAGATACAGCACATCATTGTGTTCTGGTCCATGCAGAGTGCTTGAGTGACTTAACACTGACTTTATAAGAGGTTTTCTATGTTACATAGAATATTTGATACTAGATACTTCATATTTCTCTCTGTGTTAAAAACATGACACAAGAACCTTGTTTTGTTCAGTGACTTTTTTCCCTATGGGTACTGATAATTACTCCAGCAGAGAACATTTCTCCACCTTTTCTCAGCCCTTCATAGGGCTTGTTGAAAATACTGTTCTATGTCTGTTCTGAAAGTGGAGAAACTGGCCAATGAGACCAGAACTAAGCATCACAAACTGAAGTCCCCAGTCCATTTCCCAATTAAAAAAATATGTCACATTTTTTTAATTGGGAAAGTGCGTGCCCAGAGGAAGTGCTTGCTCAAGCTGTCTCATCTTCTCCAAACTGCACTTGGCAGAGCTTGCAACACTGACTTCACATCCTCAGTTGACTCATTTCCATGGCTTTTCTCTTTTGCAGCCTTTATTATAAAGGGTGAATGTTGTTTTCCTCCCTTTGCAGGTTATTCTGACAGAAGTGGGAAAGGAAATAGAGAACTATGAACCACCATTCTTTACCCAGAATCTGGCCTAACCTCCAAGGAATAACCTTCAAAACAACTTGCTTCTAAATATTGCGGTAAGATTACACCTTAGTGTTTAATTGCTGTTATACCATAAAATCAAGCTCTTCAACTTATGCAACTTGAAATAAAACTGTTTGTCCTTATATATAATAATAACAACAACATATTCTTCTAATTCTGTGGTCCCTTAGGACAACAGTCCTGTGGTTGCTACTGACCTCTATCACATCCAGTATATAGCATGAAGTAATAAATTTATTTTTATGCAGCACTGATGGTGTGTCCTGAGAGCTCCATGAGGCAAAGATACAAGAAGAGGAGAGGCATCTCTTTACTCAGCTGACCTGGTGTGAATACCAGGGGATAGCTCTGTATTTTTGGGTAGAGCACTGGCAAAAAAACCCCAGTAAATGAGGCATGAAAGACTAATGCTCAAAATACTACACAAGTATAAATTAAACTTTCCTCTGATGAGGGGAAAATGAGCTACAGATACAACAAACTGATCAATTTTTAAGCCCACAGAAATACCAGAATGGGGTTAGAATGTGCAATCTCAATCCTCTCAGATGGAGCTGGTTGTTCTTTAAAGCCCCTTTCAGCCCAAACCATTCCATGATAATTTCCTCCCTTACATTATATCCCCTCTGCATAATCACCTTCTGTGGCTTCATTCACCTCTCATACAAGAGGTGTATGAAATCTTCATCATTAAGATTTCACTGTCCAGAGTGAATTATTGCAGAAGAAAGGATCTCAGGTAGGACTCCCACCTGTCAGGGCAGTGCCACCTTCTAACAGTGACATTTCTGGCATTGCAGCAGGGGAGAAGCACCTGGCCAGGGCAAGGTCTGTGCATGTGTTTGCCTGCCTGCATTCTCCTCCTGTTTGTCAGCAGCTCCCACAGAAGCAAACAGACACAGGCCGCAGAGCTGGTGACAAGAGGCAAAGGGCACTAAGCGATATTCTTGACAAATCCAGACTCTTGGCATATTTTTTCCTTGCAATAACCTCAGTTCAGACTCTGTAAAGGGCACCTGCAGTTTACAGTGGCCACCATGAGCAAGTTAAAGAAGCTGAACAATGGCATTTGCTCCTCACCTCTCCCCATAGCAAGAATACTTTATTCAGTTCAAGCCATGAGTATAATTTTACACAACATTTTCAAGGCATTCAATACTGCCACCCTTCCAAGGAATCTGCACTGCATATGCAAATAGAAAACCTCATGCTTATTAAGTCATTTTCCTCTTAATCTTGAATAGCTTTTCATGACTGAAACAGAATTTCTAAGGTGGCTTTACACCATAAATTGCAGCCTGTATTCTACAGCTGCCAGGCACAGACCAAAGAGAAGGTACAGTTTAGGTCAGCCCATCTCTGTATTCTGCTTTTCGCCAAAGACAGCTAAAACTCTGCTGTTAGCACCACTTCCTTGAGAACAGGTATGAAAAATGGGAATATTAAATGCTCTGTCACAGATCTTCCAGACAAAGATTCTCTTTGGCAGGCTTATTCAGCATTTACAAGGGTCACACTTCAGCAAGCAGAATTAATAGTTTTCCCATACCATTCCTTCCATTTTGACTTTCCAAAACCCCATCACTAGAGCTTGTTGGTTCATTTCAGTATCAAAGGCTAATTGGTTCTTCTGATGACAAGTTTAGATGCAATCCTCTGAAGACTGCAAACAAACATTTAAAAAGCAAAAAGCTGAGTTATTTTCCTAGACATTAGTGGCAGTTTCACCCAAGTGCTACTATATTAAATGGAGTCTTCATGCTTTGGCAAAAATACAAGGCATAATTTTTATCACCAAAAAATCTTGAAGTATATGCAAAATACTTGCTTAAGAACTGTTGCTGCTCCTTGTTGGTAGATTTACTGACTGAAGGAAAATATAAAACTAGCGTAAGTAGGTAATGGATTTTTTTCACACACAGATAAGCATTAGAACTTCTAAAAATGAAATAGCTGTGCCACCACACCTTTTCCAGACAGAATAGTGTTAGAGCACTTGCTTTTCTGGGACCAGAGTTTGATTTCAGTTTAAGGCCAGCAATGTAAAATGAGCTGTAACAGGATTAATCCAGCTCCTTCTGGAGGAATTTACATCCTTCTTTTCTAGAACACCAAATTAGGTCACGTTACTTGCATGATTCTTCTTTAGAAGCTGCTGGCAGAGGAAAAGAAAGTATTTGACAGTTCAGCAAGAGATGTTTGCTGGGTCACTTACATGGCTTCCTGCAGCATGCAAGACTTGATAAAAATACTGAGTCTGTTAGTTACACAATGACTTTACAATCGTCATGAGATGGTGGATTTTCCTTTGGTTCTCTGAGAGAATTTTAAATTATGCAGCTTCCCCAAAACAGAGCTTTTCAATCTTTGCCTTTATTAAGCTAAATAACATTAAAAAAAACAAACTGTGAAGACAGAAAATGATTTGGGTAGTAATTGGCTTCCAGATTCTCTAGTTTCTTGTGCAGAATTCCAGCAGTACATAGGAAGAAGTTTCTGATTCAAAGTCGGGTCTGCCAGGATCCCCATGATTCCCACGGAGCAGGACTGTGGATTTGGAAACCCCACTACCTGGAACCCTCACCCCTACAGCTGCTTTGCTGTGAGCCCAGTGGTTCTGACAATCCTGAGAATCCCAGTTCCTGACAGGACTTTCCCTGTGTCCACGGAAAAGCTGCTTTCAGCTCCTGGGTCCACAGCTGAGTTCCAAGATTGTCCATGATGGGGGAAAAGCAGCTCCCAGGGTCCCCCCTTATCCCCCATCACTGGGATGCAGGGGTGTCTGGCTGGGGTTTTTTTTTGATTGGATTCAAGTTTGTCCCAAGAAATTTCATGCCTGCATCTTGAGCTGTCTCCCTGGCATTTTTGATTAGTCATAAAATGTTAATGAATAAGCAACAAATTTTATCTGTATAACAGTGTCCAGAACACTTTAGTGTTTTTATAAAGTTATTCATATAATAAACTTCTCAATGTGAAATCTGGAAATAAAGCAAAAAGGAAGACCTAAACTTCAAAATTTCTAATTATTGTCACAAGTACACATTAATTTTTTTAATATATACTTGTGACAATAATGTATAATGACAAATGAGGCAGTAATACACTTTATTCCAGGGTCAGTATGACAAATTCCATGAGTTATTCTGACGTGCTCCATATTCTTCCAAAAGTCACTAAGAAAATTCAGCAAATATTTGTAGAAGGCAGAAGACCCCAGTCCTAGCATAAGCTCTTATTGCTACTACCTATGTATGAGAATCACCTATATATTTCTGTAGATTTCTTACAAGTTATAATGAATGACTTTCAGATAAAGGTGAGGAATTCATCATCAATTCTGTGCTGAAACAAAACAAGAGGCCAAAATCAGCTGCTACCAGCCAAGAACAGACAACATTTATCTTTTATTACAACACAATTCTTGAAATTGCAACAAATGCCACTTTGGGGTCGTGAGTCCATAAGAAAGAGACGTCCTAGTCCAGAATCTCCTAAGTCTCTTCCTCTGCCTACAGGATACAGGTTAGTGTCACACAGAAATCAGTGCTTGGAGGTCAGAGTCAGTGTGGAGGACACTCTGAAGATCTGTGGCAGCATGTTACTCAGCTGGTAAAACATTTCCTCTGAAATTGTCTGGGGAAAAAAAAAACAAACAACACACAGGTAAGCTTTGTCTTTTTGTAGTTTGGAAGAATTAAGTCTCTCTCAACTTTGTTTCTTGGTATTTAAGAGAATTGCTGCTACTCAGAAGACAACAAAAATAATTTTCAAACTGTGTTATAATCTGACTGAATTCAGTTAAAAGACTGACCTAAAAAAACTGGCTGTATATTTATGTGACACCCACATAACCATTTCCAATAGATTTCTTGTTCCAGGGATTGATTACTTCTGCCAAACATAAGCAGGACAGTGCTGCTTGTTATCTACAGGACCCCTCTCTGCATTTCAAGACTAACTTCAAATCCGGAATTTATTTGTGGCTTCTTCCTTGCTCAGCAGCTTTTAATTTGTCAAGAAATACATGTCACTCATTTCCTAACATTAATTCTACTTTTACTGCTTTTTAGAACAAACCTCATGCTGGGCATCTTTGGATATCTTCCTGTTTCTGAAGATCAGCTAGAACTCCAAATTAAATAATTTCAGAATCTAAATCAGAACTAACTTCAAATACCTGGAGTAATTTTTTTTTTTTTTTTGTGAAAGCATGACTGAACTTTCTGCATTGCAGCTTTCCATGCTGTTAGACAATATGACCAATAAACAACTCAAGTTATGTAACACAAGGCTAGACCACTGGAGTAATTAACAGAAAAATGTAATTAAGTAATTAACAGAAAAAAGTACCTTTTCCAAAGGTGATGCATTCACTACTTGTAAAGGTGAATTTCCCAGTTTGAAATTTTAGCATCCTCTCAGAAAATACTACTGGGTACTCAAAACTATAAACCCACCCTTACTCCTCTTTTATAGGGAAGGAAACAAAACCAAACAGATTAAATTAAACTCTCTCAAAAGGGGCAGGCAAAAGCAAAAAAATTACAACTAGATCTGCTGACATGTGACTTCTTACCAGCAGGCTCCTAGATTGGGTATGACTTTGGTTTCACCTACCTGTGGTACCAGGAATTGTACAGTCCGAGAAATTCCTCCATCCCACGAGGCCATTTCCATCATGAAACCTAAAAAAGCAGCATTGACAGAGTCTGGATAACCTGTGTAACACTCCCCAGCAGTTACAGCATGAGCAGGCAGTGAGGGAGCTTTCAGACTCAAGTAGGGTGGGAACTGCCTTAATTAGGGATGTCCTCAACTACCTTTAAATCAGACCTGGGCAATCTGAATGAAATGTAGAAAAATCTAGTGATGAATTCTGCAGAATAGCTACACTGAGGACAGAATTATCAGTCCTTCTGTGCAGCACAGTAATGCACAGCAGAAGTGAGGGTTGCTCCAAACAGTGTGCCAGGAGTTCTTTCCATGGCTTCTTTTCACTGAGAAACAGGGGTGACCTCATTGTGGCCTTGCAGTGCCTGAAGGGAGCCCACAGGAAAGATGGAGAGAGACTCTGGACAGGGGCCTGGAGTGACAGGACAAGGGGGAACGGGTTCACACTGACAGAGAGGAGGTTCAGACTGGATAAGAGGAAGAAATTATTCCCTGTGAGGGTGCTGAGGCCCTGGAACAGGTTGCCCAGAGCAGCTGTGGCTGCCCCATCCCTGGCAGTGTCCAAGGCCAGGCTGGATGGGGCTCTGAGCAACCTGGGATAGTGGCAGGTGTCCCTGCCCATGGCAGGAGGTTGAAATCTTTAAGGTCCCTTCCAACCCAAACAATTCTATGATTCTATGGGGAAAAAGCTCAGCACTAATTTATTGCTGAAGTAATGAACTACCAAAGGCCACAGGAATCCTCTTGTGGCAAATAAGGGCACTCAGAAAAATACTTGTTTAATAGAAGTGGATGATATAGATGATATATCCATTGTGAACTACTAAAGGTCAGTTACTACAGGAAGAGGTTCCTCAAGCAGGTGGTTGAAAGAAAGTGACTGGATCAACTATTTAAGTGCAGCTCTAAAAATGCAGAAAGTAAAAACAACACTTGGAAAGACAGAAAACCATGCTGAGTCATGAGGACTATTTTTTCCTAATATCCAATCTAAATCTGCTCTCTGTCAGTGTGAAGCCGTTCCCCCTTGTCCTGTCACTCCAGGCCCTTGTCCAGAGTCTCTCTCCATCTTTCCTGTGGGCTCCCTTCAGGCACTGCAAGGCCACAGTGAGGTCACCCCTGTTTCTCCTCTCCAGGCTGAACAATCCCAATTCCCTCAGCCTTTCCTCCCAGCAGAGCTGCTCCAGCCCTTTAATGAGTTCATGTCCCTGCTCTGGCCAGGCTCCCCAGACCCCACTGGGGCTCCACTCCCCTACCTTTGACACACTTGAACACGAGCTCTGCCCTCTTCAGGCACCATGGAATGGTCATCTCCTAAATGAAGAAATAAAAAGCCTCAATGCCCCACAAATCTTAACAGCACGAATAGCAGGGAAATTATTGAAAGCAATACATTTTTTGCCCTAGAACATAATTTGGAAGAAGGATTTGGGACCTAGTTTTCAGAACATTCTAGGCAGGTGTACACACCTTACAGGCGACCATAAAAGCACCACCACTCCTTATTGCTAGGACAGCCAGTGTCAGAACAATATTAAACATTTTTAAACTGAGGTGTCCAATAAAAAAATTGTCAAACCCACTGGAAACTGGGCTGTTTGATTCCCCTGTGGAGCTCCAGAAAAAGTCTACTGTTCAACTGATAATTGTCAGGTTCATGCTTCAGCAAATCAAAGGCAGGCTCCTGATCACATCTTAAAAGCACAATGATGACTTCTAATTTCTTGATTTTGTTTAATATTTCTTGGCATACCCACAACCTTCTCTCTCTAATACTGGAACTGGAAGAAGCCCTTCCTCCTTTAGATGCATTTATGGTAAGAGTGAGAACAAACAAATCATCTGCATCTGATGAAGGAGTTGCAGATAGCAGCAGCCAGCAAATCCTTACCTAAACTTAAATAACAAAACATGACATGAAAAGCACAGTGGTTTAAGATATGGTACAAGCACTGGGCTAAATAAGATTTAAGTTCATGAAACATTTTTTGGCTGTATGCTAGAAAGCCAATTACACCATGATGATGTAATTCCATCAGAGACAGAATGACTCACTGCAAACATTTCTCAGGAAGAAGAAAACAATATCTGTTTGTTTCTGGTGTACTCTTCAACATGAAGATGAGCACTTCCTACTCTGAATACAGGAATATAGATATAGAAACTGACTTATCATTCTAAGTACCTTTTCAAACTTAAGCTTTACATATTTTTCTATTCACTAAAGCCAGTCTCTATTTTGCAATGTCAAACACACAGTGCAATCTGTTGTTATCAGAAAGCTTAATTTCAGGATTAAAGAAAGTTATGTGAGAGGCAAGGTTATCTAAGAATGGCCAGCGATAATATAACTGATAAACTGGATGTGTGGCTTAATTAAACAACTACTGAAAGCCAAAGTTCCTCTTCAGGCTGGAGGATCTCCTGTAATCCCCCAAAATACACTGTATATTAAAACCTGGGTAAGTTTGAAATATCTTTTCATAAATCTTTCATTATATAATCACGTGCTGCTTTTAGGGTATACACCACAGTAATCAGAACAGTGATGGACAAGTTTGGATTTGTACTTTTGCTGTGGTTGCCTTTTGACTTTTTTAATTTTTAAGCATTCTGGAAGCAACACTTAAGTGTTTATTATAATTCATCTGCTCACGTGTGCTCTCTGTCACAAGTAAGGTTTATAGCTGGTTTTGATCACTGCTTTGGCTTAGTAAAAAACATTCTCAGAGAGAGAGAAGAACATTCTCTCTCAGAAGCACCTTGAGCAATCAGTGATGGGAACTGAGCCTTAAACAGACTGATCAACACAGCAGGATATGACACCATTCTTTGGACTATTTGAGAGGAACAGAGATTAAGTTTTGTGGGCATCCAGGGAGATAACAGATGTTGCTCCATGCAAGCCACAAGAACTGAAAATGACATAGCAGTGATTCAATTCTAATCCATCTTACACACCAAAGTTCTCATGAATTCACCACATCACCATGAGTTTTCTCTGGTGTGGAAATGAAGGACCAGCTAAGCAACAATGCAAAATACAGAGAAGGACATCAGAAAGCAAAAAAGCAAACAGTCAACCTCTTAGAGGGAGTTTTGAATAATAGCATTCAAGAAAGTTAAAAAAAAACCCACCTGGAACTTTGGGTGTTTTTCACTAGAAGAGACACTTCAACCCTTTTTAAGATGCAATCATTTTGTCAAATTAAGATTTCTTTCACTCATTTAGAAAAAAAAAGGAGGGGGAGGAGAGACCAGCTTCACTGGTCTTTCACATATTTTTCACAGTGAGAAATATATGCTGCAATCCTTTTGATTTTATTTTCATTTAATTTATTATAGGCTCACTACATAGGGCTGCTTAGGGCTTGGGTCTTTGCAGAACCATGTCATAATCAAGTAAGTAAAACAGTAAAGTCCACATACATCATGTGGAAAAATATTTCAAACTAAACTTCAGTGGGTAATTTCAGTAAGAATTAGCAAGGTGTTTAACTTGGTGGATCTGTGCAAATCCTAAACACTGGATGAGTAGATGAAAATTTAAAGCCAGGAAACTCAGATGAGAAACATCTGAGATCAATACACCCATCATAACCTCTCTATGGACATAAATCATGTTCATAAATATTTGTTACACAGCTTACACTTCTTTCATTTCTACTTTAAAAAAAAGTTGTCTTAATTTATGGTAATAGAGACAACTGCACTGAGATCACTGAAGAGTCACATTTTTGTCACTGCTGCTGTGTGGACAACAGCAATGTTGAAGCTACCAAGGGAGGGTGCCAGCTCTGGCATTTTTAGCTATGCCTTGCTGTTAGAGCCATTTCATTCCCCAGTTTATAGCAGATTCCAGTGATCAGTAACACCTCACTTGGCTTGAAATCAAACTTGCCTGCTTTTGCCTTTCTCAGGTATCAAATCAAGTTTCCTTCCTTCATTTAATTTAAGAGAAATCTGTTTTGGTTGTTCTTGCCATAAGAAAAACAAAGGAAAACAGAACTCTTGATTTTTTTTTTCATAGAAATAATGAAATCTAACAGCTTCTTTGAGATCAATACAGTCAAACTGACAGAGAGCAGGTTTAGATTGGAGGGTGATGAGGTCCTGGCACAGGTTCCAGGAAAGGCTGGATGGAGTTTGGAGCAACCTGGGAGAGTGAAAGATGTCCCTTCCCATGGCAGGTGATGGGACAGGATGAGTTTAAGGTCTCTTCCAACCCAAAGCAGTCTGTGATACTGTAATTACTTCTCTGAGGCTATAAAACCACTCATCCATCTACATTAGGAGAAAACCTTTGGAAACAGCACAGAGAACACTGCTAATGAATGCCTGTCCAAGGAAGCATGGAAACATCTCTGCAGCTGGGCTCCTGGTTAACCACCTCACAAAAATGTTCTTCTGTGGGTGGTAAATGCAGAGTCAGAACTGTGGCTGCCAAAGGCACCGAGTTCAGGGCAACTTTCAGAAATCTGTCATTACTCACTTTTCCCTCAACAAGGAGTTACAGATTTGTGTGCTTCAAAGCAGGTCAGCCAGCTGCCAAGCACTGTAATAAGCAAGCTGCTAATGCAAGTCATACAAAGCAGTTGTGCCTAAACACACACAGTTACCACCCAGCTCACCTTCTGCTTACTCTGCTAAGACTTAAAATCTTAATACAAAAGGTAAATCGTTTTACCAGGATCTTTTAAGAATCCAGCACTAGACAAGAAGTTAATTCTTCAGTTTCACACATCTCAAGGCATGTTGAACACTTGGTCGTGTGCTTTATTTGCAGTTTAAAATACAGATATGCAAACAGAAGCTAAAACTAGCCAGGTTTAAAGAAAACAAAAACCAGAAGAACATAATCAGGTGGCACCTTGATTAAGAAAAAGGTCGGTATATTTAATAAATTTCTGAAACACAGCAACTGGGTCCCCTGAGTGACCCAGGCTGCTGTCCTGCATATTGATTACTTGTATTTGTGCCCAAAGAAAGGTCTTAGTACCACAGATGAAAATTTTCATAAATAATCTAATCTGTTCCTAAACGTCTACTTTTATGTATGGAAACATCCTTTAGAAGCTTCATTATTGTCTTTTTACCTTTTCATTATGATAGACCCTGATCCTGCAAAAAAGGACGACTTCTACTCTGTGTTCCAGTAAATTCTATTATAAAACCTGTCACTGTTAAAGGTAATCCACTGGCGAGCATTTATCTGAGTCAGCCACTTTCCACAAAGGAAAGGCAACATTGAGTCTAAAAGTGAAAAATCAAAGGGTTATTTAAAACAGAAACCTCTCCAACAGACTGTAATTATTACTGATATCCTTGCATGGATGACAGAATTATCTTCTTTTTCTCATTTCTTTAGGTTTACAGCTCTTCAGGATAGGAGGCATATGGCTGTACTCCCTGCCCATCACTTCTTTCCCTGCCTTCCCACCCCTTTTCTTCCCAGTGAGACAGGTGTGACACAGAAAAGAGGCTGCCAATAGTTTTAAATTGCTGTGCCCTGAGAAATCTTACAGCTGATTGAGAGACGAGCCCTACATCAGAGTCTCACTGCAGAAGAAAACACAAAACTCAGCACAGTAAGAACACAGAGCATCAGCAATATGCTGCCTCTTGCCCAGCCAGTATTTGAGGGGACTTAGAGAGGGAACAGGGACAGAAATTAGGCAGTAAAGGAGACAGGTCAAAGTGAAGGTGAAATTTGGTTGTTCCTGTGTAGGGCTGAGGTGGGAGAAGGTTTACAGAACTCTAAGCCAAGCTTTGCCAGTTCTGCTGCTCCCAAAAGTTAATTTCAATGTTTACAGATAATGATAATTAAAAGAGGGGATCTGGTATCTCTACTGCATCAGCAACTCTGAAGATAAGAGTTTCTAAGCAAGAGCTTCCAGTTGTGTAGTCCCATCTTCTATTAAGACTTGTACCACTGCATGAGATGGATCTAGGAAGTGAATTGTCCAAAAGGAAGAGTGGGAATAAAAACTTTGAGTGATTCAGCTGGCTGAGATGTTTTTAATTGATTTTAATCTATCTCCTTACTTTGGGTCACCATGTAGATACAAGCACCATGTGGTGTGGCAGAGGTCTGTGAGTGAGTAAAACCACCCTATTTGGCCTATATCAGCATGAAACTCACCATCTGCAAAAATCCAAGGATATAAAACAAGCCCAAACATTTCCATTTACTTACTTCTGACATTTCATGCACCAGCAGGAGGGGAATGCTGATGGTGGTGATGTCGTGTGTGCAGCAGACCTTGAGGATGTTCCTGAGCCCCATGATGGCCGGGTCCCGGGCGGTCACGTTCACAGACCTGACGTTGTCATCCACACACAGGTGAAAGGCAACGTGGATTTCTGAGAGGTTTGAGTGCCTTGTGATGTAGAACTCTCCTGCACAATAAGGCAAAGCAGGAAGGGAAGAAATCATGGTAGTGATCTGTACTGAAATCCAATTGTTTGGAAGTGTAAGAAAGATAAAAGGCAAATACAAATATACAGCAGTATGAGGACATACACAGGAGATCTAAAATCCCTTGGACTGTCACTGTTTTACATCCATCCCACACTCTCTCCCCTGCTTTGATGGGTTCCAGTGGCATCATGGCCACATGGTGTAATGAGCCATAACAGTGCCAGTACAGGATATGATCTCTATATAGCACAAAACAGAAAAACAAACCCAGAGGAGGTGCAATACTCAAAATACACAATGCAAGCACGGAATTGCAGACAGATGTGGGAGGCGGAAAGGCCAAAAAAGGATGGGTTCAAATAAAGGATGCACAGAGCCTGTGGAAAAAGATAGTGGGTTATGTAACAACTGAGATATGGCACTGGAACACAAGGGAATCAGTGACCATTAGAATTTCAAATAATTCAGAGTAGTGGGAAGGTGAGTTACAGAGTTGCTTGAAAAAAGGAACCAAGACATCTTGTTGGAGGTATTTTTAGATTTAGTATTCATTTATCAAAGGTGAGAGGCCGTGAAATCCAGGTCTCTCCATCGGTCCTTTGCATTGGAGATCTAAAGTCTACAGTACAGTCAATGGAAAAGCAGGTGTGCAATGCCCCCACTGTTTCAGTCTACAAATAAACATCTTCCTTCAAACCTATTCCCCCTGGCCACTGAAGTTAAGATCTTTTCTTTGAACTGGAACAGCTGCAGAATGGGCCTGTACTCCTTCTGGATGACTGCAAAGCAGGCAGGAATCCCCAGCAGTGACCATCTACGAGCAGTAACACACTCTACACTGCTACAAGACACCTGGATTTATCTGGTCCAAGTTGATTTACAGTACACTCCCTCTAAAAATATTTAAGAGGGCTTATTAAAATCAATTTTAATAAGCCCTCACTCAACCACAGGTTGTATGGACTTAACTCCTTCCCCAACTGCATATTCATCTTCAAATTCAACAGCAGCTTTCCTTACTAAACATCACAATATACACAGAAGAGATACTTCCCCTGAGAAAGGGAATTCTGAAAGTTAAAAAATCCACTCAAAACTGCTTTTCTGTGCCACAGCAGTGATATACATATAGCCATTTTCACAAGTAAAATTAGCTGATAGCATTGAAGTTTTATCTTTCCCACAAGATGCTCAGAGGGTTTTTTTTTTTCATCCTCAAATTCCAGAAGGAAATTTTAGGCAAAGAGAAGTGATTTGCCCCACGCCATGTGATGCAGTGGCAAAGCTGGGAATAGAAACCAGATGTCCTGACACCCAGTTCTCTGCCTCAGCCACAGGAACATCCTTCTCCTCTGATTGAGGTCAGCTTGGGTTCAGGTTAAAATTTATGTTCTGACTTTAGAGCTAAAAATGTGGATGTATAAAACACAATTTGCTTCAGGAAGACTGGGGTCAATGCCACACAACTCACCCGGGAAAATGTTCGACTGGTTGCGTTCGATATTCTTTAATTTATCTTCATTCCCACTGATTTTGTTTTCTGCGTAAGAACACATGGAACAAATATTAATCATATCCTCTGTTAATTACACTTGGGCATGAAAAGGTTCATGTACTGATATCTGGCTTGAATTTTGACCATGAAGTCCTCAAAATGCAAGGGGGATGGGTAGAAGAGTTTTTGCTGTCTTCAACACATCCCAAACTGAATCCTACCTCAAATCCCTGCCTTTCTTACTTACCATCCCATGATATTTCTTCATTTGGACAACAGCAAACAGTATTCTCAGACATAACAAGAATCTTTGAAAGCTGCCCCCACACTCACATAGTATCTTGCTATCACTTTCTTTTAATTTCAACAAATTTAAACAAATTTGTTCCTAAGAGATTTACATAAATCAGCAGCATAAAACCAGCTTTCACCATTTCCCTTGAGATGCAGCAATATGCAGGTTCTCAAGGGAACTTGTTTTTCTGTGTACTCATATTTGTTCATGTTCTAGATGCATTTAGATCACATAAGTAGCTCTCTGGAGGGAAACCAAAGTTACATGATGTACAACTACACTGCCTAAACACCATGTGGTCAGAGCATTTCCCAGCCACTTGCAAACACAAATGTAAGGAAAACCATTCCCAAAACTTTGGCCAGCATAAGAGAGCTAAATACACATTTAGTCTATTTCTTATTTGGTTTTCAGCATTCACTTTAAAGTAAGGGGGGAAAAGTAATAAACTTTTTCTGCAATTTTTAGAGATTTAAATGTAAATGGCAATAAAAACGTAAAGACAGATAAAGCTTGTGCTGCTACAGGCAGTTCAGGAAAGCAGAATGGCCTGATGTACTTCCCATGCAGTTAAAATGTAACTTTTATATGTTGATTCATTTTAAAGGAGCAGCAAAGACAACACCCAAACACCACATTCTCTGTGAATTTCACACAGTTTCTTGATGAACCCAAACATTCCATTTTACAGATGAAATAACTGCAGAAGAGTGGCATGGACTCTGCCCTGCCCACAAACATCCCTCTGACCACTGTTCTATTTCAAGGAGGGTAATTTTGGTTGTCACTGACCGTGGTGTCTTTTTGTCTTGCTGCTACGCTGTGCTCTGGCCTTAAGTACAACCTTCTGGACAATTTCAAGTTGTTCTTGGATTCCAGGAAAATGGAAATCCGTGCATTCTTGGCAAACGGTTGCGAAATCTAGGAAAAAAATAAGATTGAAATGCATGCCCTGAGGTTGTGCTCAGTAACCTTATGTAATTCTACTCTACTGATGAAGTAAATCCAGCTATAAAGGCAAACTCTCCAAAAGCAGATAAAGCCCTACTGGACTCCTCTTCCAAAATTTATTGAGGATTTTATTTGACAGATTGTGACATGGTCTCAATACTTTCCCCTCTACTGTGGCTACAGGACCTAATTGGTGGCTACAAGATGCAATTTTGTGTTTAATGGCACTATTTAAATTTCTGTCTTCTCTCATAAAACCAGATACTCTCCTTTTGTTATTCATTTAACTATTCAAACAGTTAAAAAGTACCTGCAAAATAAGTACAAGTACAAAATAATACTGTTACAATTGAACTACTTGGAAACCATCAACACCAATCAACAAACACAATTGCAGTTTTTCTTGGTACACTTCCCTCTCCTTCTTGCTACAAGCCTGACTCCAACTATTTCCAGAAAATATCAAGCACCACTGTGCTTTTTTTTTATGGCATGCAAGAATAATGACAAGTAATAGTCAAAAAAAGACATTCCAAGTGTATTTCTAGCAGCTGATGTCACAGTTGAAACAGCCACCATACACAGAGTACCACCATAAAATTTCCAAAGGCTTTAAGCATCAGCCCATAGAGAGTAACACCAGATCACTTCAGAGGGCTGCAAGCATCCTTCCTTCTTGTTCTTCAGCCCAGCCTTCACACCCCTCACGTTCATGCACTGCCCCTGTGTGCCCTCTGTTCTCTTTGGTGATTGATCAGCACACCTGGGCACTCCATGGCTCATTGCCTTCAATGCTGTTCCCTGTCCTGCAGAACCCCTGTAACCCATTGGGGATGAGGCTCCTAATTTTGGTATTAAACTTCAAGACAGAAATGGGATAGTCAACCAGGAATAAACAGAAGTTTCTTTGGTTAACCTTGATAGAAAACACCATCAGAGTGCCTACTTGCTCAAAAGACACTCAATTCAAATTAATCAAATTAATCAAACTTTCCAGAAGTAGGGAAGTCATATTCCTACTGTTCATTTTTAACAGAATTCATGTATCAAAAGGACATGGTATTTTTATATATTTACCTATCACTTTAAAAGCTGGGCATACTTCTTTTTCATTTTTGCAAATAGGTTTCATTGTGATAATCTGGTATTAAAAGAGTCAAAAACTCCTATAATAAATTTGTCTAAATCAATATTGAGGGGTCCTCTTCAATATTGTTTGTTACTCAGACACAAAATGTAGGGAAGAGATGAGAGATAACAGCACAACACTATCCTCCATCCTCATCCATATCTCTTTTTGCATTTGTTACCCTTTTGCCATACCATATGCAAAACATGACTGCCATCCACTGAATTTTAATTTTACAAAGAATATTTTTCTCTCTTTCTGTGAGAAAAGACAGCCAGATTTTATTCTAATTTATTATTTTATTCATTCTCCCTGACAATGCCTCCCATTAGAAGACTCACCTCTTTTGATTCCACTGTAGGAGCTGATCCTGTTGTCCACCAGTAACACCAGGCCACAGAGGGAGGTTGAGTAGAGGGACATGGCAGTCTGAAGCCTGTGCAGCTTCACCCCACTGCGCTGATTGCGCTTGTGTTTGCAGAAATCCAACATATCAGCTCTCAGCAGCCTCAGGTTGTGCATGGTCTTCAGCTGAGCTCCTGCACAGAGCACACGTGACTCAATCCCAGTGGAAGACTAACTTAGTGCAATACAACATAAACTCAGGACTCAGATTGAAAAAGAAGGGCACAAAGTGCTTCCCTAAAATCTGGAAGGGAGCTGTAACCAGTAACACCCAGAGGAAGTTCTCAGCCACTCATTCAGTTTTACAGACAGATCAGCAATTCACAAAGTAGCAATGAAAATGCAGTGTTCTCACAAAGCAAGGCTTGCCCATGCCTGAAATGAGCCTTGTTCCCACTGCAGAATCACAGAATCATTAAGCTTGGAACAGACTTTCAAAATCAAGTCCAACCTGTGCCCAATCCCCACTGTGTCACCAGCTCACTGACTACCATGTCCAGGCATTCCTTGGACACTTCCAGGGATGGGGACTCCAAACCTCCCTGGGCAGACCCTTCCAACCCTTTCTGTGAAGCAATTCCTCCTGAGGAGTACTGCAGGGCTAGGGATGAAATACTGATGGGTAGTGGTGCATCCTTCCCACCCTTCCCAGAACCACTCCACAAGCTCAGGAACTCCTGCTAGGCCTAAGCATTTGTGCTATGAGCTGGGTGCTGAAGGATCTCCTGGCTACGCCAGGAACTGCTGTGTGGCTGAAGTGGGAGCTGCTTGGAGGGAAAGAGATCATCAGTCAGCCCCTAACAGCCTGGAAACATCCCCAGCTGACCCATGGCCCAAGGGGAACAGCACCACTGCTGCTGGAGCTCTGGAATCTCCAGCAATTCAACCTGAAGATGAACATTTCCCAAATGACTCAAGGCAATCATCTCACGACCCTATGGACCATGGTCCTAAGGGACTTCCTTGGAGCTTTCCTGCACCACAGCAGGCTGCACCAGCATCTCCCTCTGACAGAAATGCCTCTCAGAGCTTGCAAATTCCCAAGTTTGTGATACTGGGAAGGATTGTTGCTGCCCATCTCTGCCTAAATCATTTTAGATTTGGTTATAATCCAGTTTTCCTCTCTGTGTTTTATCTACATAGTAATAGAGTGAACCTTGCCTTTGAACCTTTTTGCTCTTTTGCAAATTTGTATCAAACTTCCTCAGTCTGATGCCTTTGCTGATGATTTTTTAAGTGACCTAAACCACTCCTGCACAACATAACATGTTGAAAACAGCTCAAGAAGACTCTACTACACAAACAAAAACACAAATTGCAAGTATCTATTCTGCTGTCAACTGATCACAGGAAGTGAATTTCATAAACACATTTTTCTACCACATGTAAGAAAAGTAAAATCATCATTTTTAGGCAATATACTTTGCTGTTGCTGTGCTTTTCCACATGAGTCACCCAACCAAAATGGGTAAAAATTTACTTCTAGAATATTTTCCATTAAGATTTCCACCTATTTCAGACATTGCTTGATACAGTTTATACTGTTCTCTTACACATGTAAAGAACAAACACAAAACAACTCCAAACTATGGATTATACACATTGAGAGTTAAATAGTGTAAATAATACTTGCTTTGGATACATTATTAATTTACTTGGGTTTACTCCACTTACCTAAATGAATAGTAAAGCTTTCTTCTAACAGCCTCTGCTCTTCATAGATTCTCCCATTTCCTTCCACAGATTCCCTCAGCTGGCTGGGCTGAACTTTAATTTCATCACTGAAATAATTAGAGAAGTACCAAAAAGTTAATCCTAATTTTTATTCAAGACCAACAACTTTGGGAAAGTTATCCCAAGTTTTCTCAGCTGGTCTGTGGAAACCAAGAGATCAAACCTATGAGCACGAGTTCCATTCATGAGGTTTCACCTTTGCCTTCCTGGCAGCAGGAAGAGGAAACTTCACTGTTAGATTTACATTATTTAGCCCATTTGTAAAGCATTCCAAGACTGAGAATTAAAAATAAGTCACAATACCTAGTTATAACATAGTAAGAATGTAGGAATAAAAGGAAAACAAAAAGAGTTCTCTTCAACCTATTTACAGCAGCCAAAACCTTATTTATCAAGTTATCAAATAAAGCATTTCTTTTCTTCTTCCCACACAAAACGGGAAATTAAAAACCACCTTCTCAAATGTTCCACAGTGTTCAAACTCCCAGAAACATTTCAGATATCAGTTTTAATATTTTCCCTAAATTCAACTGTGTGGTAGTGAAACAACAAATACTGTTCCTAATACATGAAAGAACAGCATCCAATTTGTCGCTGCATTAGTGAGAAGTTTCTGTTTACAAAGTGCCTCACTTCCAAAGATCTCTTATAAACTTGCAAGCAATTCTACTGATTTCAACTGCCAAGCAGCAGTGTCCTAGTGATAAAGAATAAGGATCCCACCCAATTTAAAAATTCTAATTTCCCTGCCATTTCCTTAAACAGAGGAAAGCTTCTCATTCAACTCTCTCCACAAGTGTTCACGCTAAAAAATTCCATTTTTTAGCTGTCCAGTGACATACATACAGAAAGGAAAAAGAGGGCTGTTAATTCAAACCATTGTTACCATTTTTTTAAAGCACCATTATTCTCCAGAACATGCTTAGGTGGTAACAGAAAGCTTTGTGAAACAGTGTTAAAGACAGATATAGGAGAGGAAGGTAAAACAGAAGGAAATTCCACTCATGTCAAGCTGTACTTTAGAGCATTACAACACTTTCTGGTACAGAGATGTTGTAACATCACACAATGAAGAAACTCCTGAAATTATACATATTTCTTTATGATGGTCTATTTGCCTTTGATTATCCTAAGCAAATTATTTATAGATATTATCATATCATAATAAATAGGACTATAGTACCCTACTTAGAAGATTATGTAAACACAAATACTTTGAACTATTTCAGCTGAAATTCAGCATGACAGAGGAATTAAATACCTGACTGAGCTGTTGTTGGGATTCTTTAGGTCTTGATGAAGCTTTATCACCCACTCCTGATATTCCTGCTTCTGGATAGCAGTAGTCTGTTTTAATTCATTGGTCCATTTGTTCTCCAAATCCTGACAGGAGAGCAGTGATAATTTGAGTGGTGTGGGTGTTCTTTTTAAGGTGATTATGTGCAGGGCATATTCTAGTTACCTGCTGAGACTCAAAATGCTGAGCTGCTAAGGAATTCACATCCTGGTCAGTCAGTGACTTCCCAAGCTCCTGCATCACCTTATCCATTTCAGCCCCTTGCCTGAAAGGGAAGCAAACACAGAATTCAGAAGACTGGCAGCAGAACACCTTTTGCTGTGATAAAACCACAAACTTGGTTGTTTGTTACTGACAGAATGAACAGTCACAGATTTAGCAATGAAAATCCACAAAACAAACTGGCCTTAAGGGTCAGGTCAGTCAGCCCCTGTGTAAACAGAACATCATTTACCCTCATTTGGGACAGTCTCAGCTGCCACCAACACAGGGATGTGATAAATTCCAACAGAGTCAATTCACAGCCACAGTACACCTGAACTCTACAACAATACTGCTCTTCTGTATGCATGCTTAAGAAGAGGCAATAGCAGCAATAAGATTTGCTAACACCATACTGGCAACATCGACCCTCAAACTAGAAATACATACAATTCAGTCCATTAGAAACCATAGCATGAAGTGATTTTGCACTGTCTAGGGTGAGCTTAAACACACACAGCTCAAGAGGAATATTGCTACTCAGAATGCTAAACCAGACCTACTGGAGTTACTTTGACACAAAAAGAAAAATCCACACTCAACGTGTTCCCTCTTGTGGACAAAGGAGTCACCTGCAGCTATGCAAGCTTATTCCAGAACTCTGGACTTAAATGTGTCACAGCATCCGTCACAGTTGAGATGACCATGGCACTCAGAGTGCCACCATACCATTTCAGAAAGTTTCAACCCATACAGAGTAACATCACTAGAAAGCTACAGACATCTGCTCATCTTGGCTTTCAGCCCAATTTTTCACACCCCTCACCTTACCTTACATGAATTGCACCGTCTGTTCCCTTTGGTGATCAGCACACCTGGGCATTCCATGCCTCATTGCCTTCAATGCTGCTCACCTGCTTGTCACAGCTGTAGCCCACTGGGATGAGGCTGGGTCACAGCCCCACTCCCAAGTACCACAAACTGTGTGCCCAAACTCAATGCTCTCTGAAAATCAAAACTTATATACTCCTCAGTCACTGAAAATAATAGAAGGCTACCAAAGTAATATAAGGTAGCTGACCCTAATGACATCATGGAATCATAGAATGGTTTGGGCTGGAAAGGACATGAATGCTCATTTCATTCCAACCCCTGCCATGGGCAGGGACACCTTCTGCCTGACCAGGTTGCTCAGAGCCCCATCCAACCTGGCCTTGGACACCTCTAGGGATGAGGCAGCCACACCTTCTCCAGGCAACCTGTGCCAGGGCCTCACCACATCTTGAGTAAAGAATTTTTTCCTAATATCCAATCTAAATTTTCACTCTTTCAGTTTGAAGCCATTCCCCCTTGCTCTAAATACCCTTGTGCCAGCCAAGTGTTGTCTGACTTGAGGTTTACACAGACAAATACAAGCTACACATGTTGTCCTAAGAATTTACACACCCAGTGGCATGTACCCCTACTTAATAAGAGAAAGGAGAACCTAAATAATAAAAAAAGTAATACCTTTCACGTAGCTTTTTCAGCTCCACGTCCCTTTCACTTATTAATTCTGAAATGCTAACAAAATAATTGTGTTCCAGGTTTAACAGCATTTCAGAAGCTGGAGAATGGATCAGATCATGATAAACATCTGCAAAATCTTCATCCCAGCTGGTTTCTTCAGGTTTGGCATGTTCTAATGTTGTCTAAAGAAAAGGTAAGAGATTTTAAAGGATAAGATACCTCTTAGGACATATAAAGATCCCTCATAATGGTGGTGTAAAACCACGGGGGCCCACACACAGCCTGTACCATACATAAACTATCTTCCCTAATTTAAGCTTCCTGACATTCTACTTTAGCTTTCAATTTTCTCCTCTCCCATTCTTTATCTTTCAAAGCAACTAAAGTCAGAATCATTAAGGCTTGGACTACAGTAAGGAATTACCAATTTTCACACAACACCAGCTTGGAAAGAACAGCAATATCCACAATAATATTTGCACCTGATGAATTTTAGATAGGGCCCAGAACACCAGCTGTGCAAACAAAAATGCTTTGCTAGTGAGGATGACTAACTGCTGATGTCACTAAGAATTCCATCAACAACACTGATTCAAGAAAAGCTATTTTTATTGAACAAAGAACAGCCCAAGAATGCCAATTTTGCAAGCTTTTAATGGGATTTTTCACCTTTTTCTATATTTCATGAGAAACAAATTCAATTCCTATAAACTTCTCTTTAAACACTGCAGGCTTGTCATTAATTTTTTCTTTTCACTAGGACTCCTCCAGTTCTTTTGCATTCCACTATTTTTAAGATCCCATGTGAAACTGGAGACATTATTCCAACTAAAGCCTCCTAAATAATCCTTCCTAAATAATATGAACCCAAAAAATGAACTGAAAAGTCTCTCTCAACTATACACTTTCTCCTTCTAACCTTAATTACTGTTACTGAGTTTTAGGATACGAGTGTCACTTTGTTACCTCTTGCTTTAATTCTAAGCCACCATGAGCCTTATGCCTATGTTTTGTTTGAGTATTAACTGTTGAATGAACAAACCTCCATTTTTTGCCTCTCTCCATTTTTTGCTTCTCCATTTTCTATCTTTCTACTCTATTAAATTTAAGAAAAACTTGACTAAGAACTTGTAGGATGAAGACTTGATGCTCACTTTCAGATAGAAAGAAAAAACTGCAAGAATTGCAGCGAATTTTAGTGTAAGATTCCATCCTCACAACTGTGATTGCACACACACACATACTCTCACAAAGCAAGCCTTGAATATTAACTTTCCAGCCTTAATCTTACCTCTTTATAAGCTTTAGCCCAGGTATCTGCCAGCTGGTTGATGTCTACTTTTCCCGATTTCACTGCTTCCAGAGCCACCTCAGCTTCTCTGTCATAATCTTTTATGGTTTCCTCTTCTACAAATTTACTAAGAGATTGCTTCAGGTCTATTAAACAAGAAGAAATGGTCCATCAACAGAACACATCAACAATCACCCAGGAAACCTGTAAGTACAGTTTTTCACCTGAAAACCTTTTCCTTGCTAGCACTGACAGTAATTTTCTCTGATGTCCTGCTGTTTAAAAACCAATTTTGTAAACACTGTTCCAGTAAAACACTGTTCTTTTGGTTTCTTAGAGCAAGCTGTAAGATGCTTGTGGACAAGGATACAGGAGATTAATTTAAGAAATCAGTTCATACCATTTTCTATAAAGCATGGCAGATTGTGCAGAACCATCAGGCGTCCATGCAAATGACTGATATTCTCTTGCACAGGGAATTTGAGAGGCACTGTAAGCACAAAATGTTCATTTCCAGCACTGAATTTGTACACATAGTCTCTCTCTCTAGTTATAGTCTTTCCTTTATTAGGTTTCATCCTCTTGAGTTTGTTTCCTGCAACAGAAATGGAAGAAACAAGAATTACATTTTTGTAAACTCATAAGTACAAAATGGTAATGAAAAGCCATGGTTTTGCTCATAATTAACAGCCAAAAATACTTAACTCCCCAAATTTTCACAGATACTCAGTTTTGACTTCCAAATACTTGCATCTTGAACTGAAGCATTAAATACCAGTTTCCAAAATATCAAATGCTTCTAAAATGTATTTGAGTGTGTCAATATATAAACTTGGGTAATTGCTCTTAAAAAATACAATGTAAAATCTCCTGACTTAAAGCAGAAGCAGGCTAGATGGGACTCCTGATAAATAGAAAATGAACCAAAAAACCCTGACTTCTGTCATGGATGCCTCAAAAGCTGAAATCCTGCAGAGTGCACAGAGATTTTATTTCCTCCTTTCTGCAGGTGCAAGGCCGGGGAGTGGGGGAGCGGATGTTTGCAACGATTTTTAGAAAGAGCTTATTTTGTCTTTTTGTAACCTGCATTAAAAATAAGCCAAAAGAGATGGAAAGGGGGCTGTGTAGAGTGAAATACAGGCTGGGATAACTGTGCTGGTATTTTTACCCTCCACAGGGTTCCTCTGCTCATTCACATGCCTCCGTTTTTAACATCCCCTACAAAGCTGGACACATTGATTCAGCTGAACCCTCCCCAGCGCTAAAAACCACACCCCGAGGAAAAGAAAAAAACAATAAAAATAAAACTTCTACAGCAGAATTCACGGGTTTAGGATTCGGTGATTTGTTTTGGTTTTGGTTTTTTTTTTGGGGGGGGTGGGTTTTTCAGTGAACAAACCTATGTGTTAGACACAGACGAAACAAGTCCGTTTCAAAAACATTTCATAACAACCAGTATTGATGCGAGGCGGTGTTCCGGCCTGTCTGGGAGCGGATTCAAAGGGAAATCCTGGGAAACACAAACCCGACCACGCTCTTTCTGCTGCTCCCCGGTGCAGCGAGGCAGCTGATAGAGTGTTCCAAAGAGGACCTGGAATCGCAGGCTCAAAGCCGGCAGGACACGGCCTGCGGGAGCCCCTCCGCGCCCTCCC